TGGATTGTTCAGGACAGTGTTGAATGGAGAATGCTTGTGAGTATGCTGTGCTCATAGATGAGGGGTAATGGGAGCAAGTAACAAAGTATGAAGCACATCTTATTTTCGCTGGAAAATCCTACGAACAATCTAGTCAAATGCCTAAGTACACATGCATGTTAATAATAAAAAAACGTTTCTACAGATTTTGTTTTCTAAATATAATTAAAGTTAAAATTTATCAATAATTCTTGAGTTTCACAAGTTAATAGTCGTTGTCTTTCGATCACCGAGGCATTCACCAGAATTTATCTATCAGCAAATACAATATTTAAACAACAATAACTTGGGCTAATTTATTTAATAGAGAAAATGGTTATGAGTACTGCATCAAACATTACTCATAATGAGTAATTATTTATTTTCTGTTCCTATTACGTCTGATACCTTTCATGGAGGAACAAAGCACAACCACAAGCACGATCCGTCGAACATTGTCAACAACATTCCTTTCCAGTTGCTATTCATCCTTCTATTTTCTGCTTCCGATTCATGACACAATGCGTTGATGGTTTCCTCGCTTTTCCATTCCCCTTCACGATTACAAGTTGGTGCTTGTTTCGTGATGCAGTCTGATTTCCACAATCCATGTTCTATCCACTTCCATCATATTTTCCTAATTTCCTCTTCATCTGGTAGTTGGTTTCTTCTCTCAGACAGTAAGCTGTTACTGATGGTATGTGTTCAATGGTGATTGAGTATCTTGTGTAGATAATTGTTTGGAAACACTTGTATCGATTTGACAACGGTCGTAGTAGTTTTCCAGATTTCAGTTTTGTACACTAGAACAGTCTTGATGTTCGTATTGATGATTTTGAATTCGCTATTAGTTGACAGTTGTTTGAAGTTACATATGTTCTTCAGTTGTAAGGATGCGTTGCTTGTTTAGCTAATGTTTGCCCTTCGGTGTGCATTGGATCCTCCTTGTTCGTCGATGGTGCTGTCCAGATAAGTGAAATGTTTCAGATATTTCATCAAGTGTGACTGTGTTGGTGTTCTGCATGTCGTATTTGTAGATGTCGCCATTCCCATTTGTTTCGTCTAGTCATTCCATGTCGTTTCATGATATCTTCATAACACATGTTGTCCATTTCTACTTCGACGTTCAGTTCTCCCAGAAGAAAGGTCACGTCTTTTCCCAGCCACTTCGCTATGATTGATTGCAACCTCTCATATAATTGATCTTTTTTGTTGTCGTTGCTATCATTGCTGAGTGCATAACATTGGATAACATTCATTGCGATTCCCCCCTTCTTTGTTTTAATGATCCTTTTGACGATTCTGAATCCAGGTGATTCCCATCCTATAAATGCATTTTTGCTTTTTTGAACAGCACTAGAGCATTTGCCTGAGTGTGCGGAGCATTTTCTTCTTTTTAACCGTAATACAGAAGCATCTCTTCCGAACCTAACATTTGCCGTTTAGCTTGGTTTTGATTTCTGCAAACTACTGATACTGCAGTGTATGCTATTTTTGTCTCCAAACATAAGTACTGTGTAACGCCAGTCGTAAGTGGAAATCCTGGCATCAGAATGCTAAGAAACTCGGGTTGAGGAGAATAGAAGTGAAAATAAAAAGGAATTTCTGATGATTTATTACTGAACTAGTATCTTCTTCTTACAATACACAATTTCACAATTAAGAGAAACTATGATGCAGTAAATAAGTTAAAATCAAACTAAAAGTCATAAGAATTTTCATAAATCATTTTGAGTAGAGTAATATGTTGTTATTGGTATGATTAACTTGACATGTAAGCTACAAATTACATTTATCAGGATAATAAGTATTGATACCAACTAGTTCGTTTTCTTGTTTCGTCAAAAACTGTTAAGTAACGTGGGTTTTGTCTAGTATCCCCGTTTCGTCCCATTTTAGGACTCATCAATTAATCGCTCATTCATTCCAGTGTTTTCTTGATGGAACTCAAAATCAGTTCATGTTGCTCAAACTTCGAAGTGTTATCCACTATGCCACCGATTTCAGATATCCAGCGGACGAAACATGGGTTTCGCAAGCCACTAATAGTCAATGGTCAACTATTCTTTAACTTGTGACGTGATGATAATACTGCGTAAGCAACTTAAGATGGATATATGGCGAAAATGCTAATCAACTGCAATCTTAAATGTTAACAACAGTGGGGTAAGAATTTTTACAATTTACAACAAATTTTTTGTAGTTTGCATCGCGAAATAGTTTTAGTTAGACAACTCCTGAAAACCAGGAGCCATTGTGCTGGTATTTCTCCCTTCTATGGAACCCTTCAAGATTATTTCACATCAATAGTACTACGAATTGATTGAAGTTGGGCATGAAATAATTGTATGTGAACTCAATGTTGTGAACATATAACAGTCACCATGAATGTGCATTGTCGTGGAGAAATCTGAGAAACTATTAAATAAACTATAGTTGACCATGCATTATATAAAAAACAGATGATCAATTAAAAGTAGTCCATTGTTATTAGATCTAAATCAAACATTCGGAGATAGGGATTCAATGGCAACATCTTTTATTGATCATTTCATCGAAGTTACGCACAATTAAGTGAATTCAACAGACCCTTCTAACTAATGTCATATAAAATAACCAGGCATATGAAACATTATTACCCTAAAATGTATTTCAAAAAATGTGGTCAGAAATTACAATGCATGTTACAATTATTGGTGGTGGTTTGTTTCATCTTTTTCCATAGCCGATGCATTCTTACTTAAAATTAAAGTCTCAACGTATTAAAATAAAGTAATGATATAACTTACAAGCATATTTGGCAGTCTAAGTATTCGTCTAGTTACCCGAAATTCACCTCTAGCTGATAACCATCTCATTGTTATGTTCTGTACAGGTCTTAAGCTTGAATAAAACAGATAATAAATTTGGTTATACATTATAGCCTTCTAGTCGCATTGTCAATGTAAACTTAACAACACATTATGTTATTTCCCTTAATTAAAAGTTTGCAGAATAATAACATTTACTCTTATGCCTAGTTCATTTGCTAAACTACAAAGTTTCGTTTGATGTATGATTCGCCGTAATACGCTTTTATGTTCTAAACGAAACCTTTAGTACTCTATTTTCCTCAACTAATTCCCAGTTTTGGATATAATTGTATTTTCTCAAATGTTTGCACGTTGTGGTCATGTTACTCATCTATTTATACATGTCGTTTTTCACACTAATATGAATTAGGAATTGGGCATCAGGAATAGTTCGTGTAGTGTTCCAGTTGATTCGTCTTCTTTCTCACGCGCGCACTTGTCAACTAATCAAGTGACAGAATAGTTTTTATCTCTATCTCTCAAGGCCGTTAGTCAATTCGGACTTACACATTTCCAGCTTCAAGACTAAACTAGATAACCTTTCATGTCAATATCTTAATCTATATCAAGATAAGTTATATCTTGTATATTACTGGGTAGACAAATCATGTATGTGACAACCCTGTTACTCAATTTGAAATCCGTTAACACCAGTTTTTGATTCATTAAACATTTCGTGCTGCAATGTTGACATGATGATAGAAGTTATAGAAAATTCATTTGAGAAATTCCAGTAGTAAGTAGAAACGAACTTCAAATTTACTCTCACAAAAGAGATCGTTATTTATTGAAAATGCTCAGCCATAAACCTTATTCTTTACACTTGATATTCAGTTGCGTTTAGTCATCTTTCATATAAACTGCCATAAAAATAAATCATTCTAATCAAAATGAGTCAAATCGTCACCAACGTTTTACAAAAGCTGGGGAAATTTATTCCCGATGAATTATTTAACATTCTGAACTCCACAGATCAAACATTTGTTATTCACAGTGAAAAAAAATAGTTCATTTGACAATGTAGATTTATTGAGCATTCATCGGTTATCCTAGACATCCAAACTTTCAAAGTACTTATCTCATCATTTTAAATTATAAAATGCTTAAAACGATTTGTTTACAAAGAAGTGTAATACACCAGACAACTATATGTTATTAATAGGTACTTTTCAGCAAGAAACTATACTTCTAATAACCATTAGTTACAGAATTGAACTATGCACACATAGTCTCTTAGAAACATGAACTTTTTCATTGAATCTTTCTTAAATATAGCTAACTTAGCAAATTCTGTGCAAAACACACGAAACAGGAAAACAATAAAATAGCTACTTATCACTTAAATCTGTGCTCATATGAATTGATCATTTAAGTGAATTAAAGCAACAGATCTAAGCAAGAATAATATACTCCCTAGATTTACGCATCCTCATAGTAAATGCTCTATTGCTATATATATTATTCGTATATTTCAATTATTTTCTTAGATTTAGACCTAACATATTCTGCTTTCTTTCTTTCATTTGTTTATTTTACTCATTGTCATGTTGTCATAACCCGACGAGAATAATGAATGGTAACTGTTAAGATTTGTTTATATTTTATTTATTTTACACATAGATATTGGTACAGGGGGGCAGTAAATACATATGCTCCACACAGATCTCATTTGATATGTGTGAGGGCTGTGATTAAACTATTCATATTCATGTCCCTCTTATTATGAGCTTCATTTTGATCTATGAACTATAATTATACAATATACCATTCTTGATTTATACCCAGTCTATCAATTACTATCTCCCACATTCACAGCCATTTTGGGCTAAATCTTGTACAAATGCTGTTTCATATTTTATGGTACAATTTGGTCTGTCTGGTTGGCACATTAACCCAGTATGTTTGAAATATACGATTCATATCTCAGACGCTGAGATTGGTGTTTTGGCCTTAACAGGCAGCCACAAGCAGGAAGCATGACCGATAAGGACTCTAGACTGCTCGTACAAGTTTTACGCATCATTGGTCCGACCGATAATTCACTGTCCGCTAATTGACGGTATCATCACGTTATATATTGATATTTGCACAAACTCACAAGGTATAACACATGAATAACATATAGATCTATTATTCACATTTACTATGAATAATGTTTGGATATAAACCTTCTGGAAATTTGACAGATGATATATCAAAATTATATTGAAACCTAAACTAACATTATGAACAATAACTTCTTGAAAGCATGTCATCACAGAAAATTCATCTTTTTCATTTCCGATCATTTTTACAAAGTCCATTTTCCACTATGTTCACATTCCAAGATAGTATCAATAGTGTACCAGAAACAATGTTGTATGCTTATTCATGGTTATAATAGAAACGAAAAGTCCCCGGCCCCCAAAAAATCAAAATGATCAAAGAATCGATAAGAAAAACCAAAAGAACTTACTTTCCATCAGGCATCCGATACTGCGGACTTAAATCTGGCAAGTTATTGTAAACATTCGGAAGGAATCCCTTGCAAAAAAGTCAAGAGATGGTCATATTAATTCGATAGCTCGGACTGATAATGTGGGTAGAGTTGTATCCTATGAGCTGGGTAGCTTATTCGTGAAGTTTTTATTTTCCTTCTAGAGACAACATCATTTGTATAAGATTCAGATACAGGTAAGCAATTCAAATTTCTTCATATATGGCTAGAGTTTGTGATAATAATGTGGTCTTCGAAAAGAAAATGAATGCTTTACTATTAAACCGACCAGCTCAGAGAATCCAGCTAGGACAAGAAGTCAGTTAAATAGAGTTTTGTGAACATTCATCTTAATTTTTGTTAACCATTATTTAAGATTACATCCCATATTTGAAAGTGTGTTAGAATATCTGATACTTTTCATACTCATACAACCGACGTCTATAGTATCATTTTAGCAGTATGCGGTTGTAGAAATTGTTGAATGTCAGTTTAACTCATGAACCAACCTAATATGGCGACGCAAATTCATGGATTGATTGAAATTAGACATTAACTACACTGGATCCCGGTTCACTGGTCTAGAGGTTAAGAGTTCGTGTGCAAGACCGAAGGCCCTAGGTTCCATTAGCACGTGTGGAGTCGTGAACGCACACTACCGAGGAGCCCCACATTTACACGAAACGGCCTCTCAGTGATTACGGGTTTTAACGGTGGGTTGAACTAGATCAGTTCCTTGATTTCAATCGAATAGTATTACCTGATCCTGACAACCGTGGAACGTACAATTGATTAAAATATGATATTGAAAACGTTTTGAATTCATATAGAATAAAGTAAATATACTGAGGAGGTGAAATAATCCTTAATCATAACAGTTGCATACTATACAAAATGATATTATTTCAACGTGAATTTCTTCACATGTTCAAAGAATGAGCTTACCAATGCATGACATATTTCATGTTTTGTAACATCTTCTAGCTTTTTGTCATTTGCTCCAAGAATAGCATCCTCCATTAAACAGTAATTCACTATACCTAAATTAGGCCTAAATATGAGCGTTAAAATAAATATATTAGCTTTTATTTCAATGTATTCCAAAGTAACGTTCATTTTGTATAACATAATATAAAAGGTGCCTCTAATAAATGTTTATGTTAGAACATCATCATTAAAATTTGGAAAATATGTTGCTTGACTAATCAGTAGAATGCATCTGATAACACTATAAAAGTTTCGATTGATGAAGAATTAAAACTTTATCGAATCACTACTTTGGTGGTGCTACTGGTGTCAACGGATATAAGTAGTATGTATAACCAGTCGAAAATGAAATGAATGGGCTTGGAAGGTTAAGAAGATCGAAGAGAAGAGGTCAAGAACAGGGAGCGAATGTATGGAACTGAAGAAACATTCAAGTCTGAGACAATTGATAAACATTTTCAAATGCAATATTACTGTATGGTTCTTAGATATTACTAGAAGATTCTGAATATTTATTTTTATTTCTGCATTTCTGTGATATCTCATTCTCATCTGTCTATGGTCATAAACAACTAAATATCAATAATTCTTCGCAAACTAAGGTGAATAGTTTTCCAGAATCAACCTTTTTTGACACTGTTGCAAACTGAGATAGATATTGTATATAATTTACAAGTGTAAACTTAAACAAAAAGCCAAAATGATATAATATCTAAGTTCAGTGCAAATACCACTTAATAAGTAACCAATATGGAAGTATCATCATGCTGCATTCCCTATATACTCAATTACTTATACCTGATACCATTCATGAAAGAGCATAGTGCACCCATCAGCATTCACCATCCAACCCTGTTCTGAGCAATCCTTTCCACTTCTTTCCAGTTGCTGTCAAATATTTACATGTATACTTTCAATACCCTACATTTTGTGTTATCGGGTCTCCAACGTTTCCATTCCCCTTCACGATTACAAGTTGGTGCTTGTTTCGTGATGCAGTTTGATTTCCACAATCCATGTTCTATCCACTTCCATCATATTTTCCTAATTTCCTCTTCATCTGGTAGTTGGTTTCTTCTCTCAGACAGTAAGTTGTTACTGATGGTATGTGTTCAATGGTGATTGAGTATCTTGTGTAGATAATTGTTTAGAAACACTTGTATCGATTTGACAACGGTCGTAGTAGTTTTCCAGATTTCAGTTTTGTACACTAGAACAGTCTTGATGTTCGTATTGATGATTTTGAATTCGCTATTAGTTGACAGTTGTTTTAAGTTACATATGTTCTTCAGTTGTAAGGATGCGTTGCTTGTTTAGCTAATGTTTGCCTTTCAATGTGTATTGGATCCTCCTTGTTCGTCGATGGTGCTGTCCAGATAAGTGAAATATTTCATATCTCCCAGAGCTCGTTCATCAAGTGTGATTGCGTTAGTGTTCTGCGTGTTGTGTTTGTGGATTTCGTATTTTCCTCTGTGTATGTTGAGACCCTACTGATGGAGAAGTTAATGGTACACTAATTGTCTTCATCTGCGTTTGTTGATGTTTATGGTACGGGAGAGTGAGATCATCTGTGACGACCAAATCTTCTTATTGTTCTTTGTAGTCCGTGCTTCCCCTCAGCTTTCGAGGTCTTCATAATCCGGTCAACCACCATAATAAAGAGGAACGGTGAGAGTATTCAGCCCAGTCTGGCTCCAGTCATCACTTTGAATGTATCTGTCAGCTATGTTCCATGCACCACTTCACACTCTAGTCCGTCTTATGAATTTCGGATGATGTTGATGATTATGTCAGCCGCGCACTGCATAGTATTGAAGGGGGGCCCACAGTGTTCTCCCATCCATATTGTCGTATGCCTTCTCACAGTCAATGAAGTTGATGTATAGTGACGAGTTCCATTCAATTGATTGTTCAACGATGATCCGTTCTCTTGCAATGCGGTCTGTTCACGACCGATGCTCACAGAGTCCAATCCGTTGATGTCGATGTTGAGCGTCTGCTGAATCATTCATCATGTAAGGCAACATCATGTTGAAAACATTTCATTATACTGACAATATGTGATGCTTTTGTCAATCGCGCAATTGACCAGATGTTCTTTCTTTGGTATCTTGATGATTTGTCTTTCATTCCGGTCCGTAGGCACTTGTTCTTCATCCCAAAGTTTCCTGAATGTTGTGTGTAACATGTTTGTAGTTGCTGCTATATGTGACGTTAGTACTTTAGGTGGTAAACTGTCAGGTTGTGCTGCTTTCCTATTTTTCATTTACTTGATGGTCATCCTAACCTCTTCCTTCGTTGGTGTAGTGACATCTATAGGAAGGTCTGTGAGTGGTGCTTCGATGTTTGATGGTTTCCGTGGGGCTGGTCAACTGAAGTGCTCCTCGATGTACTCTACCCATATGTTCCTCTGTCCTTAAATCTAAGTGGTTAGCTCTCCTTTGTCCTTGACCTATCTCTAGTTCACTATATTCTCCTAACAGTTTCTCCGTCGTGTCATAGAGTTATCTAATATTTCCTTCTGTTTCAGCTTTCGCCGCCGTCATTGATACGTCTTCTACGTGTTTCAGATTTCCGGCTCTGATGCTCCTCTTCACTTGCTTCTCTACTTCTGAATATTCAGCTTGTGCCTTGACTTTCTCTTCTCGTGTTTGACTGTTCTTAATTGTTGTCTTCTTGTTCTTCCCTTCCTAAATCTTGTTCAGGGTTTCGATGGAGATTCACTCCTTGTGACTATTGGTACTTGTTACAGTTCGGAGCCTCCTGAAACGTTGGAGTTATTGCTTCTTTGATACCTTTCTAGTTGCTTTCCATCGTATTTTCTTCTTCTTTCAATAGGTTCTGTAAGGTTTGCTACCTGTTGTTAAGAGTTATCTTGAACTGATTGGGTTTGTCAGTATCTCGTAGGAAGACTGTTTTGAACATTTGTAATTGTGGGGCCTGTTATCTTGTTGTCATTTAGATCGAACGATGTTTGTTGAAGGGCTCTCCACTTTAGTGGCCCGTGGATCTGACTCCAATTAGATCGTAAGAATGTTTGTTTTAGACTATCTTCGTATACAATCATCGACTCCAGTCGCATTCGCCATTAGCGGAATTAAATAGTTCAAATAACGAGATTGGATTTTTGAACACATATATTTTGTATATGCAGCGAATGGAATAGAGACAAGCGAAACGACACGCAGTGAAGATGGCAGGTGATCCAAATCCCATTAAACCAAGCGTTAATGAATATTTATAGTCACATGAAAATAAGTTACAGACATGTGACGAGTAATGGGATAAGAAGTGTACACACACCTACGCGCTCATATAAAAACAGTTGAGATTGATAAGCGAATAATTAACAAGGTCAAAATATGACTCAAGTAGAATGAATAGAATGGGCTGTCCGAAAACTAGAATAAGGTATATGGGCTTAACACAATAACAGACGCTGCACAATGCTGTTCCCCCAGTTGTCCATTGATTATTTTGTTTCAGTTTGATCTGGAAATCACCACGTGGTGGTGTGAAGCTATGTCAATTTCACTTCTAGTTCCCTAATCTTCCATGGACTTTGTAGACTTTTATATCGATACATTGTCCGGATATTCCATGTACCTATACAAACTGTTGCTGTGGTTGTCAGAGGTGTCATCAGCCTCATGAGCACAAAAGAATCTCGGCACTCATCATCAGGCATCTAAATTCTCTTGAGTAAAGACCCGTCAACTCCCTGGACGGATAATACATGGTTCGATTTGTTTACTCTAGTTGGTGTTTTTTAGCAAGGTTTGGTTCTACGGGGTGAGGTGGCGAACCTTTAAATCCAACCCTCCTCCTTTTTGTTGGTTTGAAATCGGCAGTAACTCTTGAAGGGCATAATTGTACAATAATTTGAGTTGAAATATCCACATCTCTTCATGTTTGCCAGCTGATAGGCCAACGAATTACGCATAAAAATGATTCACAGAATCAAATAACATAGCAAATGAAACTAATTTACCTCAAAGTATCTGGATCTTGACTACAGTATGAAGCCCAAGCAATTACACTAACGCCACACGCTACATAATTCCAACTCACAAGTAATACAAATTCATTTGGAGCTATTCCTTCTCCTTCAGTAAACACCTCTTCAGTCTCACCATATTTTCGAGCGTGACATGCCTATACATATTAAAATATGACGAAAAGTGTAATTATTTCATCAAATCAGTATGAAAACTTTGGTTATCAAGTTCGACGAAACGTTTGTAAAACGTAAATGTAAATAGGTAACTACAAATGTCCAAAACTACTCAATAGAAACCATTCATTTGTACGATGCTTTGGTCTGGGACTTGCTTAAAACAAAGACATTTAATTATGGACGAACAGACAATTAGAATTACCTAAAACTAGAAAATGCTAGACATCCGCTCTTCGTCTGCTGTAAAAGCTTCTCAAATTAGCTCTCACTATTACAGATTGGCTTTCGGACTAAACCATGAGTACATTGTTATCGATTAGACGCTGTGCTACTCACATATTCTAGCGGTAATTATCAAAAAGTGGATTTACACATATCTTCTGTCCTTGTTTCGCACTCACCTATTTTTTCTCTTTACGGTTATTATTCAGTGAATGGAATGTAGTGGATTATCTTCGAGATAATTCCTAGGGTTTCGTATTATCAATGGTCTCAATAACTATTATCAAATTGTTCCCAACTTTGTACACTTTTCATGACACAATACAAAGCCACAAGCACACAAAGCGAATTCGAACAGAAGTGCAAAAGCTGACAAGTGAGCAAATACAGACATGAAGCAAGAATAAAATAAATTGATATGATTCAGGCGTATAAATACATTAAGTGAAATGATTAATTGAGCGATTTGGGTAACTAGCATTAAAACTTGTATGAGGGCTACGTATGTTGGTTGTCACATGTAATTGAGCACACGTGATCATGCCGATATGATACGAGGATGTAGACAACGTATTAGTGTTTGAATGAGACTGTCTGTGGAGTAAGTTAACTGAAGGGCTTGACAAAACTAAATGCAAACGTATTTAAATGTAGGTGAGGTGGTATTAGGATACTGAACATTTTCCACAGTGAAATTTGGAACACAAACGTTGTATGCATACTTTGAAAGAAAACACATCGGTCAATGATTTAGAGAACTGGATTGAATTTGAGAAATAAATGGGAAGGGTGTGAAATTGAGCTTCTTTATAATCTTGTCTCTCGGATCCGCAGATTAATTGAAACGAAGCCCTAATAGTCCAAAACTCTGCCTGGAGTCCCTCCGGGGGCTACTGCCGGTCTCAAGCCCGGATAGAAGAGGAGGGTTGTCATGGATTTAGTGACCCCATCCCGTAGTAAACGAACTCTTTAAAAAAACGCTAACCAGAAAATATTATTCAAACCCTTTAAACTCTGCCCTGAGAATCAGAAGGTCTTCATTTAGAAGAACTATGACGCCTCATGATGAAAGCCGAGTTCCTTCGGAAGCCACGAGGCCGATTCCCCTTCTGACAACCAGAGCAACCATTTGTTTAGGTACACGGAATGTTCGTACAATGTGGGACACCGGGAGAGCCTTCCAAATTGCTGCAGAAATGAGGAGATACAACCTAGAGGTACTTGGGATCAGTGATACACATTGGACACAAGTTGGACAACAACGACTAACTTCAGGAGAGCTTCTGTTATACTCCGGCCATGAAGAAGAAAATGCACCACATACACAAGAGTTGCATTGATGCTGTCCAATCGAGCACAAAGTACACTTGTAGGATGGGAATCTCATGGACCAAGGATCAGCGAAGCCTCGTTCAAAACAAAGAAAAAGGGCATGTCAATGAACGCCCAATGCTACGCGCCTACCAACGACTACGATGAAGACGCTAAAGATCGATTCTACGATAGGCTGCAGTCAATCGTCGAGAAGTGCCCAACAATGGACCTGACCATTCTGATGGGATATTTCAATGCCAAAGTTGGAACGGACAACACTGGATATGAAGATATCATGGGACGACACGGACTGAGAGAAAGAAACGAAAATGGTGAGAGATTTGCAAACTTATGTTCTTTCAATAAACTCGTCATAGGCGGCACCATATTCCCACATAAACGCATTCACAAAAGCACATGGACTTCACCGGATCACACTACGCAGAACCAAATCGACCACATCTGCATCAACAAAAAGTTCAAAAGGACGATGGAGGATGTGAGAACCAAGAGAGGAGCTGATATAGCATCAGATCATCACTTCCTGGTCGCCAAGATGAAATTGAAACTCAAGAAGCACTGGACAACGGGGCAGACAGTATCACAAAAGTTCAATACGGCCTTTCTCCAGGATACTAACAAACTCAACAAATTCAAGATAGTCCTCAGCAACAAGTTCCAGGCCTTTCATGATCTACTCAATGGAGAAGTAACTACTGTGGAGAGCAACTGGAAGGGGATCAAAGAGGCAATCACTTCAACATGTCATGAGGTCCTGGGTCACAAGAAGCACCACCACAAGGAATGGATCACTGTTGATACACTGGATAAGATTCAAGAAAGAAGGAACAAGAAGGCAGCGATCAATACCAGCCGAACAAGAGCAAAAAAGCCAAGGCACAACCTGAATACACAGAAGTAAACAAACAAGTGAAGAGGAGCATCAAAACCGACAAACGTAAATATGTGGAAGATTTAGCAACGACGGCGGAAAAGGCTGCAAGAGAAGGAAACATGAGACAATTGTATGACACGACAACGAAACTCCCTTGAAATCACCGTAAACCGGAGTGACCAGTGAAAAGCAGGAAAGGCGAGGTAATCACCAACATTGAAGAGCAACAAAACAGGTGGGTAGAACACTTCAAAGAACTCTTGAATCGACCAGCTCCACTGAACCCACCCAACATCGAAGCAGCACCCACGGACCTCCCAATCAATGTTGGCCCACCAACAATTGGAGAAATCAGCAAGGCCATCAGACAAATCAAGAGTGGCAAAGCAGCAGGACCAGACAAAATTCCAGCAGTGGCATTGAAAGCAGACGTAGCGGTAACTGCAAGGTTACTCCACATTCTATTCAATAAGATTTGGGATGAGGAACAAGTACCAAAAGACTGGAAAGAAGGACTTCTGATCGAAATACCAGAGAAAGGAGATCTCAGCAACTGTGATAACTACAAGGGCATCACTCTTCTTTCAATACCGGGAAAGTCTTCAACAGGGTATTATTAAACAGGATGAAGGACTGCGTAGACGCCCAACTTCGTGACCAACAGACAGGATTCCGTAAGGAAAGATCGTGTACAGACCAAATCGCAACTCTACGAATAATTGTGGAACAATGAATTGAAAGGAATTCATCACTCTACATCAACTACATTGACTACGAAAAGGCATTTGATAGCGTGGACAGAACAACACTATGGAAACTTCTTCGACACTACGGCGTGCCTCAGAAGATAGTCAATATCATACAGAACTCATATGATGGATTACACTGCAAAATCGTGCATGGAGTACAGTTCGAAGTGAAGACCGGTGTCACGCAAGGTTGCTTACTCTCAGCCTTTCTCTTTCTCCTGGTGATCAACTGGATCATGAAGACGTCAACGTCTGAAGGGAAGCGCGGGATACATTGGACATCTAGGATGCAGTTGGACGATCTAGTCTTCGCAGATGATCTGGTCCTTCTATCCCAAACGCAACAACAGATTCAGGAGAACACGAACAGTGTGGCAGCAGCCTCAGCAGCAATAGGTCTCAATATACATAGAGGGAAAAGCAATATTCTCCAATACAACACAACATGCACCAATCCAGTCACAATTGACGGAGAAGATTTGGAAGATGTAAAAACCTTTACACATTTAGGCAGCATCATTGATGAACATAGTGGATCTGATGCAGATGTGAAGGCGCGTATCGACAAAGCAAGAGCAACATATTTACAACTTAAAAACATCTGGAACTCAAAGCAACTGTCAACCAAAACAAAGGTCAAGATTTTCAATACAAATGTCAAGACAGTTCTGCTGTATGGGGCAGAAACCTGGAGAACTACGAAAGCCATCATCCACAAGATGTAGGTGTTTATTAACAGTTGTCTACGCAAGATACTTTGGATCCGTTGACCGGACACTATTAGCAACAACGTACTGTGGGAGAGAACAAACCAGATCCCAGTAGAGGAGGAAATCTGGAAGAAGCGCTGGAAGTGGATAGGACACACACTGAGGAAAGCACCCGACTACGTCACAAGACAAACTCTCACATGGAATCCTGAATGCCAAGGGAGAAGTGGAAGACCAAAGAACACATTACGCCGAGAAATGGAGATGGACAGGAGAAAAATGAACAAGAATTGGATGGAACTAGAAGAGAAGGCCCAGGACAGAGTGGGCTGGAGAATGCTGGTCGTTGGTCTATGCTCCATTAGGAGTAACAGGCGTAAGTAAATAAGTAAGTCTAGTCGTTCAATGGTGAGCCTATTTTCAGATGAATCAAAATTTTTCAACATCAAAGGAGCAGTATTTTAAAAATCTTTTTAACACACGTCTACGTAGAACAGCGAGGCGGATAGTATTCTGCTGAAGATGTTTTTGGGGTAGATATTTGCGACTGAAGGAGAGTTAGACAGACAATTATCAGTTTACGGAAATCAGCAATTTTTATTATATGGAATAGTAATCTCAGAGAACCATTTTCATTTCAAATACGTATATCATAGGAGAGGGTATCATCAGTGGTCGATGAGATCTACAAATTTCCTGTATAAAAGAAATCAGACAAGTTATTGGCTGGGGATGTCAGTCTTTCACTCATGTTTGTATGGTAGATGGATAGCCAATGACTCGTGACCATGAAATACTACGTGTCTTTGATGAGCGAAGCCCATAGTTCTTAAACAGTAAAATGCAACTATGCAATTTTAAACTGAATAATATTAATGGTTGACATGTATGGAAAGTGCTAAGGAAAATGTTAGAAAAACTTTACACTAATAAAAGGAAGTTGTGAATTGTGGCTTCGAACCACAGTCGTTTTAATGTTTCCCAGCTGGATCGCAGTTCAGTCGGTGAGACTATAATTTATGTATAAGACAATCAGAAGCTAGTGAGCGAGCGAACCTATTTCAATGCCCAATGCTCGCGTACGATCAGTCAACAGTAGATTTTAGAAAGGATGCCATAGTTGGTCGGCGACGACAGATGTGATTATTCTGCTCCTTTTTTTGTAATTGCGGTGATCAAATGACCGCAGAAAGTTGTTCAGACTATCGTCACAGTGTTGTATTTCGATGTAATATGTGTTGAAGGTAAATGTTTGCTACGATACTTTTTTTGTCCCAACCCAGGTTGGTACTAAGAAAAAGTATGATAATTTTTGCAAAATGGATAATAAAAGCGCCAGTAATACTGACTTCAAACTTTGCAGGTGTTATTGAAACCTCGGCAGTTCAATGGTATGAGTACTGTCGAGATATACGTGCAATGAAAATAACAAGCATGAATCAGTCGTTTGGAGGAATCGGGAATATCGTGGAAATCAATGAAATACTCGTAGTAAAACGCGAATTCAATATAAGAAGTGTTAAAGAAGACTACGTAAGTAACAGGTCCTTAAGTATACTTATCAGATCTCTGGTATATATGATAGATAATCTCGAAAGAGACACTTCCAGCACATGAGAAACCGATAGGCTACAACAACTGTGTGAATTTAGACACCACAGTAAACACAGGCGACTGAAGAGCAAATCTATACCTATCTAGACTTAGTTACCGACATCGTAGAGGCTCTTTCTAACCCTGAAATGCTTTTAAACTGTTTCAAAGAAATGTATCTACTGTAGACTTTTGGTTTTGTATAATGTATTCTTATTTCATACTGAATGTTTTCTGATCACCTGAAATTTCCCAAGGTCACTTAAGATTCGTTCAAAGGTCATCAAAATAAATCATAGTCTCACCGTTCAACCAATGATCACAATAAAATAGGTTGTGTAACTAAATATAATAAGAGAGAAGTACAGATCGACTGTGTAACGACAAGTGTGCTGATGGTTGTAAGGGCAATAAAGGCTTGAAAAAAGTTTTCAAAATAGGATAATATATAGAAAAAGTGATGATTAATTCAGAAATATCACATCATATAGAAAATCACATCTGTACTTTCATTCACTTACTGATAAATATTTATTAGGAATTTCCATATCAAAACATGTTTCACTTTTTTTACAAGTGTCTCTTCTACAGTGTGGTATGTTTTCATTTGAACTGGTAACCATTGAACCTAATTTACATGTTCTAAAAGACAAATGAATCAATTATCTAGAGACTTGAAAAGTAGTTTCTCACCTTTCTTGATAAATAAGAAGGGTTTGAAAAATAAAACAGTGTAGGTGTTTGGGAATAACATTTATGATTTTTATATGATGAAAATATTTTTTGACATTATAAACTATCCGACTGACGAGTCACAACTAGGACGAAACGCACGTTCTGGATTCCACTGCTAGCCACTATCCGTCTCTGCTTAGAATGTTTGTGACTTAAAGCAAAATCTAAGCAATACACACAATATACACATATCCTTATAAGAGACTGATCAATTGAAGTCCTAAACACCAATTGGAAGATTCAATGAAACAAAACCAAGTGAATTGATATAAATCATGATTCAGTATTCCTAATTGATTTTTAATAATTTGTTATCAGTATTAAAATCTAGTTAAAAGTAATGTCGATTCTACCTACTTGCTTAAGTATAGAAACAGGTAAACACCAGATTACATCACTCACTTACTTACTTACGCCTGTTACTGACAATGGGGCATAGGCTGCCGACCACCTTAAAAGGTTCAGATAATTTTTTCTGGTCAGCGCTTTTTTAGCGAGTTAGTTTTCTACGGGATGGGGTCGCTAACCCAATGCCCAACCCTCCTCCTTTATCCGGGCAGTGGCCCCCGGAGGGACTCTAGGCGAGTTAGATTATGTTAATATAATAAGCAAAATCGATCTTCAGTGGTGAAGCGAATTCTTAAGCACAATGATATTTAGGAAAACAAGTACTGAACATAAGACACTGAACATTGAATAGTACACGCATTGTATGTTAATCAATAAATGTCTAAATTGAACTATATCAGCTCACTTAATACTGTATACTATTTTGGAGCTGAGTTGATTATTCATACGCGCTCAGTTGAAAAAGCATCTATCACTGAGCAAATGCAAATAGATCGTTTTAAGGACATGAAAATAAAGCAATATCTATTCCTCATCGATATACAATGGGAAGTATAAGCCGTGTATTCAACTTCGACAATTCTAACAAGATTATTCATATTACAGATAAAAGTCATGTTCACATTAGTTTCAATTTGTCTCAAACAATACCAGTAGTGTTGTAGTTGCTTAACGACTAGAAATTAGCAGCAAATCATTCCATCTACTCAACTGTAAGGTAACTAAGACTGAATAACGATAACATCATTTAAAAGTTAAATGATTTTCTTTTTAGTTTATCACTATATATGAAATATTATCTACCTCTGAATAACTACATTCTCATGTTTTTTCACCTCAACAATTAGAGCTTTCTCCCAGAATTTGACAGCACCCTCAACTGCTCTCTATTAAAAAAAATTCAAAAATATCACTTAGTTAGTTCCGAAATATTGATGTAGAATCGATACATTCTAAAACGTTTTACCTTTAGATCACTGAGGCAGTCAGCACCCAATAGAGTTTATGTTTAACTTCAACTAATCCACGAAATTCAGAGACACATGCACCACTGTCTTCAGTGAATTATCACATCACAACAGACCCGGTAGAACTCCGGTGGTCACTGATTCTCACTAGAAGAATCTCCTGGAGTTCTAGTGAGAAGCATTGACCAGTGGCGTTCAGCCGAGTCTGTTGTGAGATAGTAACTCATTGAATACAGTGGTGCATCTGTCGCTCAATTTTGTGGATTATTTAGAGTGATACATTAACTCCATTAGATGCCGACCGACTCAGTGGATAGGGGTTAAGCGTTTGTGTGCGAGATTTTGCGAGGTGGGATTATGAATGCGCACTTCTGAGAAGTTCCACGATATAATGAGTTGGCCATCCAGTGCTTCCAGGTTTTTCATGATATTCTAGCTTCAGTTGACTTATGATCTCAACTATCAGATTACTATAATATTCACTAAACCCCCTCTGATAATAATAATGTGGTATCAAGTGTCAAAATATTTTATAAGAAGTTATTGAACAAACGTTACAAAGCGTTGTTTATTTCAAATTAAAGTTTGAATAGTCACAATAAGATGAGAACTATTATTCCAAATATAAAATTCATCTTTTTACAAACTGAATCAACTGTAAACCATTTAGAGTAGTTATTATACAACTGTATTTAGTCAATTACCACATATGTTCAGAATAGTCAGTAATGAAATAATATGTTAATAAGTTAGGATAATAACTATACACTACTTTTCAAAATGTGAACGATAATGTCATTTGTCTTATCATGCAAACTAAAGGACAAGCAAAAAAGTGTTTCTGACAGTTTATAATTGCATTTAGTAATACTTGACGGACATTTTTGATATCACTGCGTGCTGATCAATCAATTGTAAATACATCTCAGTCCTACAGAAAATCAGTCGCGTCCCGGATAGCTCAGTGGTAATGTCTCTGACTGTGAAGCTGAGTGACACGGGATCGAATCCGTAAGAGAGCATCAGTTCCTTCAAGGTTACAAGTACACCATGCTGATGAGTGCCAATTAGCACGAAACCTAGGTTCAGGATTTCCTGTTGACTACCTTCAACCACCATCTTATTTGTAATATCGTTTGATTTTTTGATCTATTTACAAATAACATAACCTAAGAAAACACTATAATATCTCTTAGTTTTGTGCATAAAGATAGATAGTGTTTAATGAACTTTCATACACTCAATCACCTGTACAATAACTAATGCATAGATCATATATTCTTCTCTATATCTTACAATCACTAAACTAGTATTGTTTTCATGCTTTAAGAACTACTATCACGATTCTTTATTTCTCCTCACACTTTCTTATTTATAATATTTAAGATAATTAAGTGATCTATCAATGAGACATGTTTATGAAGATTAATGTCGAATGTACACCTCCTTATGGCTTCAGTGAATTTTGTTATAGAACATAGTTGTTATCACTCAAACATACTGAAACTCACTTTGATTTTTGAAAACACTTTACTCGTTTCAACCTTTCTATCATAAACTGGTGTGATTTTCAAATTAAGACGATTTGATGATCGTTTAACAATATTTTGTGAATAGATACTATCACTCTGAAACAATACACATATATATATGTATATTATTCATTATTCATATTTGATAACTTGCCAGTTTCTCATTTTCAACAATAGGACAAACATATTCAGATTTCAATAATTTAAACAGTACTAGACATATAGAAATGATAGCATAAATATTCATGATGAAATTTCTGAAGATGGAATATCTTATCCACCTTCATATGGTTTATATAATATTGAAAGAATGTGAAAATCTCATAAATCTCTTCGATGAAAGTACAGTATTTCGATATTTTTCCATGACCTCATTTTATAATAGAAGCAAAGTAAACTCACATAGAGTATACATGCATGTGAACAACATACGTTCACAGCAAATGTATCTAAAATACAATTTTACATCATGTTAATCTCATGTTTAAGTTGTTGTTATTTATTATTTTCACATTACTCCACTTTTGTAAAGCAACACTATTTCATGGATCATATTCATCTTCATGTTAAACTACCAATGTTTGTTATAATTTCAAACTAGAATCTTATGTTAGTTATTCAGAGAATCTACTTAACACAAGTATTATTCAGTGTGGAGATTTTGATGTTGTTATCATCACTGTCAGTTTGACATTCAGAGTTACTTAATTTTGGTGTGTCATTATATTCTTTCTTCCGATGGCACAGGCATAGAAACCTTTCACTGGTGAAAAAATTATCTGTCAACAGTTATTGATATTACCATGAAGTCATATTACAAGTATTGTGATTTGAAAACTGGTTAATGTTTGCATGCTAAGAATGCTGAAGGCAGTTAGCAGGGTGTGTTGAAACGTCTGACATCATTATGAGTATAGTTGTTGATAATTATCTAAAGTCTTACAAACTCTTGGTAGTTGTTATCTTATCAAGTACTAACCATGAACTTCATTTGTACCTTTCTTTTTGTATATTATGTGGTGGAATGAGGCGCTAATACATTAAAATCCATTCATGCACAAAAAATATAGATGCTTACTTACTTACTTACTTACGCCTGTTACTCCCAATGGAGCATAGGCCGCTGACCAGCTTTAGAATATATTATCTAGCAAATACACTATGTGACAAACAGGTTGTAAAAGTGGACCTAGTCAATAACTGGTATTCTTGAAGATATTGCTAATTAGAAGCTACACAGATTCTTATTTGATTAAAAAACAACTCATTTAATTACAAGTAGCTTATTTACTTATATTCATGTATATATGTATTCAGGTATGGTTTGTTTTTGTTTTGTAAAAGAAACTTGTTAATATAGTTTGTGCTGTGAATTCTAAATTATACAAAACATATAACATTCAATAAAACCAATAACGATAATAATGGTAAAACTACTACTAACAATAGACGATCAATAACAAGTTACTTAAATAAGTGTCATCAACACAAGTGGGTCATTCCATCATCGCGTTAATAGAATGTTTAAGGTCCATGTTTTTGTGATAACCCATAAAGATGTCTGCTTTAATTGAACTCAGTGAACGTTTCATTGCTACATCATCCGTTTGACTATATATTATATTGTTGAACTGAAATTAAATATATTTTGTTGGCATAAATAGGAATCTCTTGAATTCTGTTACTGTTAACGGCAAAAGAATAGGATTCTGATAAATAGCGTCATTACTTTCAAATGCAGTATATTTTGATGAGGACGTCCATTTAAAAAAAGCAATGAACCTACCAAATACATCCATATAATTTTTTCTGTCAGTACAGTTCCACTTCATAGACATCTGAAAACATTCCTCACGAATCTTTTACTCATAACTGGGTAAAGCTAATCAAAAGAGATGGAGATTGATAATATTGCAAACAATATTTAAATTTAGGTTCTTTTACCCAGATTTACCGATCCGGTTTATTCTCAACCGTTTATCATGTAGATTCTCGGAAGCGTAAAGTTTACGTCACATAGTACTGTAACCTTCTGTGAAAACCGGATGCGCTTCCTCGAAAGAGTAATATCAGTTCTTGATGCACTCTTAAAACTATAAGTGTGGGCTGAAATTCTAGTTGACCAAGTTTTGTCCAAGTCACTCTAGGAATCATCATTATGTTGTATTTTGTATCCACCTGAATTTGAATCAACTTGCGGTAAAACTAGACGACCATGCTATTCTTCTCTGACGAAAATTAGGTGTCGTGGATGGCTAAAACAGCGTTAGAGTTACCTAGTGTCATTTTTAAAATCTGCTTCGAGTTTCCCTTGTAGAACCTTTGCCAACCATCTACAGTCCTTGGACTGCTTTCACAACTTACTTGAGTATGATCCTATATACCGTAACAAAACGTCCTTTTTATCATGAAAAAAGATTAGTTGAATGCAATTCATCGCATCACTAGCAAATCATCTCGAATTTCAATTGGCTCGTAAGTCGTTATTAGGATACATCCATATTTCGATTGAAAGAGTTCCTTAGAGCACTGAATTCAGGGTGTAAACTATCACTTTCTACCAGATGTGCATCACGCTTCAAGTTCATCTTTCTTCGATATTTTTCCAACAAGCATTTTAGACCGATATTGAGATTTACTTCGATCATTGCAAAGATTTTTTATTATGGCTGCATTTACTTCAGATCGACAACCGTACATAAATCTGAAAATTTGAAAATGTCTACGGATGTCTTCGGTAGACTGAACCTCTAACATTTGTCTGCCAAATCGCTGGTCTTTTTACAAGTGGAAGGCATTGAAATGTTGTATGGAAATCACTCTTCTAATACACATGCCAGACACCTTACAGTTTGCATTAAGTGAATTTATCTGTATGAAATGAAAATACAAAACTTCTCATGTTCAGAAAAACCGAGTTTCGTATCAATAACCTCGGTTTGAATTTTTCTTCACACTCTTTACAATCATTAGTTAACAGATGCTTATTATACCTAAGTCATACTGAAAAGATAATTCCACTTTCTGAATCAAATATAAATTCAGTCAGTATCCAATATTATTCAAAGTCGTAGTAGGATTACATAGATGAGTTGTTTAAAGCCATAATTTAATAAGTTCAATAGTTGAGATCATGAGTCACTTGAAGCTAGACCACCATGTAAAACCATGAAGCACTGGACGGCCGTTTCTTTCAATTGTGGGACTCCTCAGTAGTCCTCATTCCCGAGAAGCAGTGAACAGTTGAGTTCAAGCGGGTCAGTTGTGAGGTAGTAACTCACTGATGACAATGGCGGATGTGTTGAAGTTAGACATTACCAACGTTGGATTCCGGCCGTCTCACTGATCTAGTGGTTAAGCGTTCGCACGCGGGACCGATAAGTCTTGGGATGGAATCTCGCGAGGCGGGGTCGTGAATGCGCACTGTTGAGGAGCCCCGCAATTGAACGAAGCGGCCGTCCAGTGCTTCCAGTTTTTCCACAGTGGTTTGGCTTCAGTTGACTCATGATCTCTACCGTTGAAATTAATACAATTTCCACAAAACTCCTTCTGATACTAATTTACTAAGTACCTTTTGAATAGCAGTTTAAGATCATTGATATTGTTGATAAAAAGTGCCATGTTAACGAGGCATAAAAGCATAGGTTCATTCTAAAAATTTCACCGACACTTGAATGAGATATGATTCCTTCCAAAAAACTCAGATGAACAATGAATAGTTTTTTGCGTATACGATTTATTTACTCTATACTATATACTCAACTAACGCAACACACAACCTAAATCAGGAATGTTTTACTTTTCTGACAGGCAAATGCATTAATTAGTAATCAAGTAAACACAAATCTTAGAAAAAAAGTATGACACATCAGATATTAGTTATAATATCTATCAATAAATCTGAAACCAATAATTAACTAGTGTCTACTTTCTCCAACTCAACTGTTTTCTATAGCGATCTGTAAAACATTCTCGAAGATCGTGCATGAAGTTGATGATTTTTATTCAACGCACAATATTTCATTAACTGACATTATCAAAAACACTAGTCTCAATTCTCAATCGTGTGATAAGTAATGCGATCAACATGATGTGAAATTGTATTTTGAATATATTTGTTGTGAACTTATGTTGTTCACATGCATGTATACTCTATGTGAGTTTACTTTGCTTCTATTATAAAATGAGGTCATGGAAAAATATCGAAATACTGTACTTTCATCGAAGAGATTTATGAGATTTTCACATTCTTTCAATATTATATAAACCATATGAAGGTAGATAAGATATTTCATCTTCAGAAATTTCATCATGAATATTTATGCTATCATTTCTATATGTCTAGTACTGTTTAAATTATTGAAAGCTGAACAACGCATCAGTGACAACGGGTTCCGGTTTTATTTGCAGTCGGTTAAGTACTTGGTGTTCGTTTTCGATGCCGACGGCCGCAGACCAGATCATGAGAATATCCGACTGATTAAACTAGTGCTTACTCCCACCAATGTCTCGGGACTAAGTCTCTTCCTGGGACTTGTCATCTATTACTCGGCGTTCGTTCCATCGATGCATGATATTCGCGCTCCACTCAATAGCTTACTGAAGAAGAACAGCTCTTGGGACTGGACTAAACAGTGTGACGCTGCATTTTGTAAAGTAAAGTCGATTTTTAGTTCGGAATTGCCGTTGACACACTACGATCCAGCCATGCCGATCATCGTAGCGGGAGACGCTTCAGAGTATGGCCTAGTCACAGTTATCTCACATCAGTTTCCGGATGCGTCGGAAAAAGCCGTTATGCATACTTCCCGCACACTAACCTCAGAAAAAAATACAGCCAGGTAAAAAAGGAAGTTCTGGCGTTTGTGTTTGCCGTGCGCCGTTTCCACAAGTTCCTGTACGGTCGAAGATTCACGCTTCTTGCAGATAACAATCCTCTACTCGAAATATTCGGGCCGAAACCTGGCATCCAAACTCATTATTTATTTATTTGGGCACATAAATATTTGTGCAAGAGTGCGCAAATATATTTGCGCCACACAAAACAATGAGGATTTAAAGAAAAGGAGAAAAGGTAGAGAGCGTAAAAAAAGGAG